TGGGAATTTCCAGGTTACATCAAAGTTGTTCTCCAGAAGTTTACTTTCATGTCATTCATTTTAAGCTTGGGCTGCAGGTCCCCAGAGACACAGCGAACTGTAGTAATCATAACTAACATTTTAATAAACTTTTCTGTTTACTGAGCACCTTGCCCCCAGGCTCTGCCCTGACCTCGCTAACATGACCCACGGGGGATTTTTCAGCCATCCTCCCAGGGCTGCTGGGCTGTGTCAGGCCAGCCCGGGTGGGGGAGGAGTCGGCCCCCGCCTGCCACCCCGCGTGGCTTTGTGAGCAGTAGGTGCGGGGCCGGTCCCAGGCTCAGCGCCCAGCCCCAGCCCAGTCTCCAGGCCCCCCTCCCATGCGCCACTGCTGTCCCCTTGCCCGTGAAGAGGGAGGTCCCTGCAGGAAGCACGTGATCTCCGTCACTAAGGTCTGCTCTGTAAGGTAACCAAGGTGGATGTAGTCGTGCTCGTCTCTGGGAGTCTGTTGAGCTCACCCCGGGGACAGCATGCGTCTGGCCAGCGCCGTCCCCCTGCCCGGCCAGCCTTTGCCCCCTGCTCTACACTGCTGCCCGGCTGGCTGGTTTCTCCAAGACTGCTTTAATCAGGTGGCAGGAGAGATTACCGAATTGGAAAGTAAAAATGGTTTCTACAGCCCTACTTATCCCTGTCAAATCTGAACCTTCCCCATCCAACCAGCATGAAACTGTTCTTGCTAAAAGCTGTGTCCAAACCATCGGGGTGGGAGGACGAGGATTTGTGATTTCCTGTCATGGAGAAGGGAATCCCCTGAGTTAGTCCTGACACATGCCCTTCCTGGGTTGCCAAGATCTTCGTCTTTGCACCATTTCACCCTGGAAAGAATCAAGTTCAAAGTCAGAGATCTTAAATATATTCTTAAATGTGTAAGTATTTAAAACTTTGATGATTCCAATCCTAAAGACCCTGGTTGCTATGGCAGCAAAGAGGCATGAGAGCGGAGGTCCCCAGGAGGGAAAGATGACCACAGACTTTTTAAAAACCACATTGAAGGTCCAGGTTCTTTTATGTTGACCTGACTGGCTCTGCAGGTACCTGCTCTGTGACCTTGAACAAGTTACTTAACGGGTTCCCGGCTTGTAAAAGGACTGTGGCAGGTGCATCACAAAGAGTCTAGCCAGCTCATTCCCTGAGGTATTGAAGCCTTGAGAATTGAAGGAGGGGTGAGAGCAGGTTTTCTTAGGCTTTCTGAGTTGGGGGTTTGGTGGGGAGAGGAGAAAAAAGCTGGGAGAGGCTAGATGGAGGCAACTTTAACACGAGGACCGCATTGTCCTGCTTGAGTCTCAGCACTCTTAACCTGACTTTCCCACCTTTACACAGTGTCTCCAAGACATTCAGGTCAGTTTCGCATTCTCATTTCATTCTCAGAAGGGACAGCAGAAAGAAATGGGGAAACCAAAAAAGTGATAACTTTTTTAAAGGCGTTTTACAAATACTAAATATTTTATTTTTATTATGTGAGTTTCAGGTGTAAAGCATTATAGTTCCCCATCATACACACTGCAGAGTGATCCCCACCGCGTGTCTAGTTACCATCCATCACCATACACTTGACCCCCTTCACCCTTCACCCATTTTACTCACCCCAAACCCCCTCCCCTCTGGTAACCACTAGACTAATCTCTGTGTGTTGTGTTGTGTTTGTGTACTTAGATTCCACATATGAGTAAGATCACATGGTATTGGTCTTTCTCTAAATTATTTCACTTACTAGCACACTACCCTCCAGATCCATCCATGTTGTCACAAATGGCAGGATTTCTTTCTGCTTCTATGGCTGAATAGTATTCCATTTTGTGTGTGTGTGTGTGTGTGTGTGAGAGAGAGAGAGAGAGAGAGAGAGATATTAATGTATCACATATTCTTTATCCATTCACCTATCAGTGGACACTTAGGTTGATTCTGTATCTTGGCTATCGTAAATATGCTGTAGTGAACATTGGGGTGCATGTATCTTTTCAAATTAGTGTTTTCATTTTCTTCAGACAAATAACCAGAAGTGGAATTGCTAGATCATATTGTAGCTCTATTTTTAATTTCTTGAGGTACCGCCATACTGTTTTCCATAGTGGCTGCACCAATTTACAATCCCCCCAACAGAAATTTTCCCTCCTTCCCACATCCGTTCCAGCATTTGTTATTTCTTCTTTTTGACGATGGCCATTCTGACATGTGTGAGGTGATATCTCATAGTGGTTTTGATGTGCATTTCCCTGGTGAGTAGCTATGTTGAGCATCTTTTCATGTGTCTGTTGGCCATCTGTATGTCTTTTCTGGAAAAATGTCTATTCAGAACCCCAGCCCATTTTTTAATTGGGTTGTTTGTGTTTTTGTTGTTGAGTTGTCTGAGTTCTTTATATATTTTGGATATTAACTCCTTATATAAGGGATACACGATTTGCAAGTATCTTCTCCCATTCAGTACGCTGCCCTTTTGTTTCGATGATAGTTCCTTTGCTGTGCAGAAGCTTTTTTAGTTTGATGTAGTCCCACTTGTTTATTTTTGCTTTTGTTTCCCTTGCCTTGGAGTTAGATCCAGGAAAACATCTCTAAGACCGATGTCAGTGTGACAGGTAATTCTCAGTAATTTCCAGAGGCCGCAAGCAGTCTTGCCTTCCTGGGACCTATCATTCCCTTTGCTTTTTTATCTCTGTGAAAATCAACCTTTATGAAAACAACAAGGACTGAGACAGTGACTTATAGAGTTGTGCATTTTGTCATCTCAGAATCTGGGTGTCAGAACCATTTAACGCAAATATTTTTTTTTGAAATATTAGGATCAGTGCAGAAATCAAGTCAGACACTTAAAGATTCAAAGCAACTGTTCTGCCCTCCCTTCCCCCACCCCTCCAGTTCTCTGCCTGCCACATTCCTCTCCAGCACAGTGTAGGGGAGTGGAAAGGGTGGCACAGTTCTTCATGCAGTATATACTAGGACCACATCACTGGAATGCCTGTCCATTTCTTGTGAAATGCTACATTAATTTCTTGAACTGTCACTTACCACTAACAGTAGCATCTCAGCAGTTTTAAGCTCTCTTGAGCTAGCAAACTTGATGGGTTTTTTAATGCCCAAATGAGTAGACTTGACCCCATGGACAAAGTTAGAACCAGTGGTGGTCAGAGCTTCCCTGGTGTGGCTTCTTTGAAGACTGGCTTCTCGGGGGCCATCCCTAATCCTGGGGCAGAGGAAACCCCCTGCAGACACAGGGCAGAATGTGATGTCTGGAGCCGTACAGCCATACAGCTTCATACAGCCGAGCTGGAAATACCTGCAAATACAGCTGAGGCTCTGGCCATGGTGAACCCTGCTGGCCCGGAGGAGGGGGCAGTGCCTTCCGCAGGGCCCTACAGATCACTTCCAGTCCCGGTGCCCAGGTCAGCTGAATGTTGGGGAGAAACGGTCCAGGAACAGGATGCATTTTGCAGTGGGTAGGAAATAAGAAAGAGAAAGTAAAGGCAGGGAGATCAGAAAGGAGCATTTGGGGATTCAAAATGAGAGCACTGGTGGGTGGTTTTTATGAGTCCTGTTCCTGGGCCGGTTCTAAACACATGAAGGCTGGGCAGTCTAGCCAGACCACACAGACATGTGGAACTTCAGCATCCCATGGATCCTAGCACTGGCACAGCTGCTTTTAAAAGACTCCAGTTAAGCTCCAGAGGACCACCCAGGGTTCATTGCTGTTGGAATCGTGGATGCTCTGCCTGGATTAAGCATCTACAGCCATGTTGCCCTTACACTTTTCAGTTCCCAAGAAGGCGTCTTTTCATGGACTTAAATGTAATCGCTTTACTGGATCATTACAGCAGGGAATCAGAGACGTGGGAAGGAATTTAGAACTCCTTGACAGATATTGCCATATCCAATGATACTTGATAACAGATCTAGATTTTTTTTTTTTTTTTTTTTACCTTTTTATCAACAGCTTCAGTTCCTTTTATTGCTTTGAATGTGAAGGTTAAATACCTATGGACAGGAGGTCTTGCGGGTTTTGCTTCTTAGTTTTACAAGGTTTCAAGTTAGGAGCATAGCTTTGCGTCTCTGTGGATTGTTCCTATTTTATTCGCTTGTTCTAGTGCCACCTTCTGTTGAAGTTTCTTCTCACAGCTGTGGGTCACTATCTGATGTGGGTAAAGGAAAACGTCTCAGATGTAAAATACAGCTAGACAGGAAAGCTTTTGAGTTAAGATAAGAGTAAGATTTTAGCCGATTGCTAACTGCTTTATTGCTAACCTCTTTATCAAAAATTAAAATTCAAACTGTCCCTTCCTGATGGAAAACACTTGGGAAATTAAAACTGCATTACTGTAAACTTAATAATTTGTTATTGCTTATTGTAAAACCCTGCAGGTGAAAGATGGGTGTCATTGGCATGCTTCAGATATGGCACCAAATGTCAGTTTGTACTACGGTTTGTAGAAATGATGGGCAGTTCAGGGTTTCCTACTAAATTGGGGGTAGAGTAGATTTTGCATATGTTTTTTAGGGAGCAAAGGCAGAAATTAAAGTAGGTCTTCCCCCCCAGCATCAGCCTGTGGTATTTATTGACTACAGAGTTGACAGCAATGAAGTAGGGAAGTTGGATTCACCTAAATCTGCCCAAAGTAACTTAAATCAAGTGTTTCTTTCTTTTAACTTCCCCATTGTGATAGAACTTTTCCAAAACTCGGCTACAGGTGAGAGGGCTGAGGACTCAGGTCAGAAGCTGTTCTCTTAGTATTTCTGGTTCTGTTAAAATGCAGTGCAGCTTCCGCGGGTCAGACAGAATGTCCATCCCTGGCATCTGTAAACCGGTCAGACTCACCTGGGGTACGAGTTCAGTTCGACGTTGAGATCAGCGGTGTCCTCGGTGGACCTCGGGCTCCCGCGGGGCGGGGAGGGGGCTGGGGGCATGGGGAGGGGTGGTCGCAGGGCCTCCCGTCTCTCCCGGCCCGTCTGAAGGTGTCCTTTTCTCCCCGCAGGGACGCGCTCAAGATCCAGCAGCTGCAGCAGCAGATCCGCCTGGAGCGCGAGGCCCGCGTGCGCTCCTCGCCTCCCGCGTCCCCGGAGCCCCCGGAGCCGCGCTCGGAGCCCATGAGCGCGCTCGCCGCCCGCCCCGCGCCCGCCATGCAGGCCTCCGGCTCCTTCAGCTACGCGCGCCCCAAGCAGTTCATCGCCGCGCAGAGCCTGAGCCCCGGCGCGCCCCGGCCCCCGACGCCCGCGTCCCCGACGCCCCCCGAGCCCGAGGCCCCGTGGAGCGCGCTCCCGCCGCCGCCCCCGCCGCTCAGCCAGCCGGCGGCCGCCCCCGGGCCCGACGCCTTCCCGCCGCCACCGCCGCCGCCTCCGCCGCCCGGCCCGGGCCCCGTCACCCGCGCTGCGCGCCCCGGCCCCGTGCCCGCCGCGCTGCTCCGCGCTCTGCTGCCCTCGCCGCCGCCCGCCGCCGCCGGCGTCTCCACCAGCGTCTCTGCGCTCGGCCTGCCCCGCGCCGCCCCTGCCACGTGAGTGCCCGCCCTCGTGTATATGTAGCGGGGTCCAGCAGCCAGGACTGGACGGGGCAGGGCGGGGCGGGGAGCCGGGCTGGGTGCCCTGAGGGGCATTGCAACCCGTGCGTCCGCGGGACCGAGAAATGAGCTCACCCACATACATGTCGTACACGTGAGATCGTACACGTACCGACTGGAGGGGACAGGCGTGTCAGTAGCTTCACGTTGGTGCAGAAAAAGTGAGACCCTGTGCAAGCCGGCCAGAAATGATGGAGCCGGGCCCGTCCCCAGCCACAAATGATGGAGCCGGGCCCGTCCCCAGCCACAAACGATGGAGCCGGCCCTGTCCCCAGCCGCAAACGATGGAGCTGGCCCTGTCCCCAGCCGCAAATGATGGAGCCGGCCCTGTCCCCAGCCGCAAATGATGGAGGCGGCCCTGTCCCCAGCCACAAATGATGGAGCTAGCCCTGTCCCTGGCGAGCCATGATCTCTGCAGGAATTGCGCGATCCTCTGTCCCAGTCTTTCTGGATGGCTTTCCTTATGTCACAGTGGTGACGTGACAGCCTTCTGAAATCTTTACTTAGAAACTCTGAGGATAAATAAGATAATGTCCACAAAAGTAGAGGAAGGCCTTCAAAAGAAACCTACGGGCAGGTGTCTGTGCGTGTAAAGTGTAATGAGTAAGAGCTAGAACTCACCCTTTTGACTGAGGGGTTCAGAAATGTGTGCTAGCCATGGTCAGGCCAGTTCCCTGTCTCAACCCTTCCTGTTGAAATCTTGCTTCAGGGCTCGCCAGGATCCCAATAGTGTTCAGAGAGAGAAGAAGGGGATCCTAAGGAGGGTTTAGTACTGGAATAAAAATGCGAAGACCTTAGAATTCCAGTCCTCTTCATTCACGTGCACGTTTTCCACCCTGGGGTGTGCTCTTTGCCCACGACAAGGTGCGTCCAGGAGCTCCTGTTAGCTGCGTCCTGTTTTGTTAGGCACTTTCTAAATGCTGGCTGCGGGAACTCTATGTTTGAAATCTGGCTCCTTCTCAAAGTTTTATTAGAGAAAGCTCAGTCAAATGACAACATAAATGCGTCGAATCAGGGAGGAGCGTCTGGGTGGTAAGGACGTATCATGGGCACCTGCTGAGGGTTGAGTCAGTCCGCCGGCCCGAGAAAACCTTTGTCTCCCTCCCCTCCTTTTGTGTTTGAGCTTTTATTTGGCGGCTGGGGAATGAATATTACCTTGCTTCAAAGAAGCTAACTGTTAGAAAGGGAGGGGGTTGTTACCTGACACCCTCCTCCCTTACTAAGAAATGGCACCAAATCTTGCTTCCCGGAAGACGAGTCCTGTATAAATCATCCACCTATTCTCAGTTGGAATTTGAACAAAGGTGAGTCTACCAAAAGCCTTGGTGGTGGAGGGGTCATATTTTATCATCTCAAGTAGAAAAAGTGGTTTACTCTGGTTTTTGACTTCGAAATTCCATTGCGTTAGGCAGTTCTAAGGGCTTGCCTCGAGTCATAGGAGCCTGGCCCCTTATCAGCATCTGTCGTAGTTACTCCTACGGAGTCAAAATAATTTTATAATTGTTCCCAGAGAGGGTCCAGCAGCTCCTGCCGCTTCTTAAAAGTTACCGGACGGGGGGAGAGTTGGATACATGTATATGCAGGGCTGAGTCACTGCGAAACCATGACAACGTTGTTAATCGGCTGTACTCCAATATAGAAGAAAAAGTTTAAGAAAAGAAAAAGTTAGTGGAGAAATCACGCTGGTTTTGTGCTGTGGGAAACTGTATCCCAGAGGTAGTTAGGCGCTGTGACACCAGGGTTCAGTGGCAACCCCAGGCTTCCAGCTCTGTGCCAGCCCAGAAGGCGCTGTTGTGTGGTTACCCTTTTGTCTTCAAAAAGTTTTCCTGTTGCCAAATCACACACACTTGAAGAATTCGTTCTCTTGGTTTGATACACGTGACTTTCGAAACATTCTTTTCCTCTGGTGAATCGTGGCATCACTCGTTTTGCATTCTGAATTAAAAACAAAAAAGTAGCTATTTATCCGTCATAATCATTCAAATAATTTGCCACAGACCGAGTGTCCCTTTCAGGGTTGCCATGACCAATTGGCGTCCTTGAATTTGTCGGAACTGCCGAACTCTTTGTCAAGTGACTCTTTTCAATTACTTATATGTTATTGGGCACTCGTGGTGATTGTGACAGCACACTCAGTTTCACTTACACGTCGTTTCTCTGGTCGAACAGTTTTGCCATGTATGTCAAGTGCTACTAAATGGACCGGTTACACGTGACTCAGTGAAGTGGAAATCCAGTAGTTGGGTTGGTTTTTGTAGTTGTATTTTTTTGCCTGCCTGTTGTACCAGAATATTGAGCACAAGTTTCAGATACCTCAGTTTTCTTCATCATCAGCCGTAGTACTGGCTGTTGTTTGTATGTTTAGCATCGTCCCGTTTCCATCTGTCGAAGAGTAGGTCTAAGTAGTCTGTGGAGATAAGGTTCTGCTTCTCGCGTCTGGGCAGTGGAGGGCAAGGCAAGGGGCAGAGGCAGGGAGGCCCGGGACAGCGGCCTCTGCCGGCACGCGTCCTCGCGCGTGGGTGGGCTTTGGGGGACTTCTGTGCATCCAGGCCCCTCGTGCCTTTCCTGCAGACAGCTGCCTCTTCCCCGGGCCGTGGGGTCACCTGCAGGGAAAATACTGCCTCCTCAAAGCTGGTGACGGACACAGATGTTCAGGTGACTAAATCTCTCAGATGGAGGCCGTGAGGAAGAGCACGGGCCTCACTTCTATAAAATGAATGTATCCCCCTCCTCTCGGAATCGCTGCTTCCATTGCTGTACTCCTGTCCCCTGCTCAGTGAATCAGCCCGAAAGGCGGTGGGGATCCAGGGCATCTGGGAGTGCCACCCCCCGCCCGGAAAGAGGGCGGCAGCTCTGCCTTAGCTGGTCCCGAGTGGCTGGGCAGGTCTCAAGGTGGATCAGATCAGACCCGAGCCAGATGGCCCGCTGGGCACTGCACTGCTCACCCACCTTCACGCCCCTGGAACCTGCTCTCAGGCAGCAGGTAGCCACGGTGCTACAATGTTTTATACTCTGAACTACCTCTTTTATAATAAGCAGGCTTCGCTGCGTTTGTCAGCAGAAAAGCATGTGTCATTAGGAGCTGTGATGCACGTGCGTTGAGAGCTTTTATCCTGCAGCCTCTCAGCTCTTGATAGGCAGTATCTCCTTGTCCTCTCTTCCTCCCTGACTTATAGGAAACAGGTAGGTGGGGACAACGCCATCATTCTCCCTTCAAGGTGAGAGACCAGGAGGGGGCGGGTTTCCCAGGGTTCTGGAATTAGCCCGAGCGAGGCGTGACTTCGCCTTGGGGTGTGGCCCAGGCTGATCCGTAATCAATCTGATGTCTAATGTTTTTTGACTGAGGTTAAAGACTGCAGACCAACAAAAACCCCCAAGTCTTAAGGAAAAGTTTGTAACGGATTCCATTGTAGTTTAGACGTGTACAAATCGGGACCGTGGTTAGATAGTAACTAATAGAAAAGACAGAACCGGCAGTGGACTTTGCTACAGGAAACAGGTAGAGGCGGAGGCCCCGAGGGTCTTGTCATTGGGCTCACTGGGGTCCAGCATCTTAGAGGATTCCACAAAAACGCGCGTCCAGTCCCAAGCAAGTATTCCCCAGAAAGTAGCAGGCCGGGTCTCGGGTGATGGTTCTGTTCAGCTACCTGCCCCAGGAGCCGCTGGAAGAACACCTCGGTCCTGGGTGACCCTGCACAGGGTGCGCGGGCGGGCACAGTGCACACACGTGTGCCAGGGCCCAAAGGCAACGTGGAGAGAGTGTAACATTGGTGTAAAGTTACGTGCTCTCCTTGAAGCATGAGCTTCAGGTGCCCAACTGGACGCCAACAGCTTTGGCTTCACAATAAAAATCAGTAAAAATAATAGAGTCGATGTACAGAAACTTAGTTTATGTATCTGCGGCTCTATTTTTTTTTGAATTTTATTTTATTTATTTTTTTATACAGCAGGTTCTTATTAGTTATCCGTTTTATACATATTACTGTATAGATGTCAATCCCAATCCCCCAGTTCATCCCACCGCCACCCCCTCACCACTTTCCCCCCTTGGTGTCCATATGTTTGTTCTCTACATCTGTGTGTCTATTTCTGCCCTGCAGACCAGTTCATCTGTACCATTTTTCTAGGTTCCACATATATGCATTAATACACGATATTTGTTTTTCTCTTTCTGACTTACTTCACTCTGTATGACAGTCTCTAGATCCATCCACATCTCTGCAAATGACCCAATTTCGCTCATTTTTATGGCTGAGTGATATTCCATTGTATATACGAATCACATCTTTATCCATTCGTCTGTTGATGGGCGTTTAGGTTTCTTCCATGACCTGGCTGTTGTAAATAGTGCTGCAATGAACATTGTGGTACATGACTCTTTTTGAATTATGGTTTTCTCAGGGTATGTGCCCAGTAGTGGGATTGCTGGGTCGAATGGTAGGTCTATTTTTAGTTTTTTAAAGAACCTCCATAGTGGCTGTACCAATTCACATTCCCACCAGCAGTGCAAGAGGGTTCCCTTTTCTCCACACCCTCTCCACCATTTATTGTTTATAGATTTTCTGATGATGCCCATTCTAACTGCTGTGAGGTGATACCTCATTGTAGTTTTGATTTGCATTTCTCTAATAATTAGTGATGTTGAGCAGCTTTCCATGTACTTCTTGGCCATCTGTATATCTTCTTTGGAGAAATGTCTATTTAGATCTTCTGCCCATTTTTGGATTGGGTTGTTTGTTTTTTTAATATTGAGCTGCATGAGTTGTCTGTATATTTTGGAGATTAATCCTTTGTTCATTGAATCATTTGCAAATATTTTCTCCCCTTCTGAGGGTTGTCGTTTCGTCTTCTTTGTAGCTTCCTTTGCTTTGCAAAAGCGTTTAAGTTTCATTAGATCCCATTTGTTTATTTCTGTTGTTATTTCCATTACTCCAGGA